CGTTGGCCACGCATTTTTACGCGATTACAGTGGCACATCCTAGTCAACTTTGAACAGATACACTCTGTGCGAGGGAGTGCGTTCTTTCATCAGATTATCGTACGTACTGCATTTTTAAGTAGAATGTGCAGGGGGTACCGAGGGCAGTGCGGGCAGTACCGAATGGTTCATTTCGAGGCAACCCTTTTTATGAACACCACTTTTATGCATACTTTTCAGGAACTAAGGCGAGAACAGGCTCCAGACCATCTAAGAAGTACGCATAATCGTCAATGTGATAACATCAGCAGTTGTTAGTTATTTTGTTCGACTATGTGAATTTTTCTTGAATATTCTGGTATACGGCTGTGATTTTTTTTCCATATTAGCAATAAATGTGCACTTATACAATACTTTGAGCATCTATCTGTTTACACAATAGCCTCACTCCCTGAGCTAATTTCTGGAAGGAAAAAGGCAGGTGAGGAGGCGGAGCGGGGGCAAGGGGCGGGGCAACTACTCACTCCGTTTCTGATACCTCTTGTCTACGCCCTCTCAGGGGTAGGAAGGTGGCATACGAACAACCTATATTGAAGCTTCGAAAAAAGATTTTGCGGAAAAAGAACGGACAACGTGACGGAGTTTCGCTGCCGCTTCTTCCCCCTTCCCGTCCCCCCGCCTTCTCTTCCCCAGCTACTTCCGACCTACTCTGTGTCCGAACTTATCTCCATACTTTCAGAAATGACAACAGCTTGATTTTAATTTCTGTCTTCTGAACAGCATACGTTTGAGAGCTACGTTAGGCTGCGTTCATACTTTGCGGCAGCGTCTACCAGCGTACACCACGACCACTAGCGTTCGGCAGCGTCAGCGTTTAGGAAAGAATAGATATCGATCTAGCGTCTGCCAGAGTCTTGAGAACTGCGGGAGTACAGGTGGTCAATCTCGCCTCTACCAGCGTCTACCAGCGTCCACCAGCATTCACCAGCGACCGGGGAAGAGAGTATGAGGCAGAAGGAGGGTAGCAAACAGATGGATTAGACCCTGAACTTGTATGCAATCGCACCGCACAACTACCCTACACCGTAAATTAAGTTGCGTGATTGCGCTTCAGCAGTCGAGCAGTGCGATTCCTCTACGCTGTTTAGTACCCTCCTACTTCCCCATATTATCTACTCGCGGTCGCTGATGAATGCTTGTGGACGCTAGCAGACGCTAGATCGATACCTATACTTCCCTAGCCCTCGAGACGCTGGTGGACGCTGGCAGACGCTAGATCGATATCTATACTTTCCTAGTCGCTGACGCTGCCGGACGCTGGGAACGCTAGTGGTCGCTGGTGGACGCTGGTGGAGGCTGCCGCACAGTGAACGTAGCCTTAGCGTTTTCTGGAAAAAGCTCCATAGTGAATCTCGTCAACTGTGTACTCAACGTATTACAGAAACTATTGCTCTATATTTTATACATTTGTAAACTATTTTTACAACCTCTTGGAAAATAACGTCGTGATATGAGATCTTAGGGATGAGACTGCATATTGCATGGCCAAGAGAACACGCACAAAATAATTATCACTGGTCCGTGAGAAAGTAGTCGACTTTTTGAAATACTAGGTAATACCACCAATACCATAGATTCCACGCTAGAAAGGTGAGAGGAAATCCGTATCGACATTGTTTGTCTATTCTTAGCGCTTGCCTTGAATATTCTCGGGACATCTGAAAAGAAGATAATAGAACGTACGGTGGTAGAGTGGCACATAGTACAACAAGAATTGGCGTCAGTACAAATCCGCAGGTCAGATCTCATCTAGGGTCTAGCTCTTTAGACTTTAAAATCGCTCGATCTGTGCACAACCCACCTACCGTGGCTAATTATACTCGTAATCCATAAGATCGGGTAGGCGTGGCTGCGTACTTAATTTTAAAATGGCGGCGGTCCAGGATATCGTGAGATATTTTCATTTTGGAACAGTCGTAATCATGTCCACATCTAACACAGAACGCGATGGCAGTTGTTTATCTCACAAGTAACCCATCCCAGGCTATGCTCAATAGCCACGCCTATCCCGTCTCAGGGATAAGGAGTGTACATATTTGGCCCTGACCTCTAGTGAACGGATAGCCCAAAAGCGAAGTTGAATGTTTCTGCGATTCCGAATCTAAGACGGCTACATGGGGCATGACAAAGGTTCCGCTTGCCTCTGGACAGAAACCAGAAATAAGAGGGCGCAGCGCGCTCAGCTATACTTAGACATATACAGCTGGCTGTGCGCTAGTGCGGGAGGAGTATGAAGACTACTTGACTATACTCAGGTACTACTACAGTTCAGAACCGTTCTTTGCGCTTTGGAGCGGAAAGTGTCACGCTATAACGGATCCATTCGCTTCGCACATTGCGGGGACCATCCTGACGAGTGTTCCTTTTGTCTTTATGATTCTACTGCCTATTAGTTTGGATGTAGATCATTTCGCACTTCGTTAAAGTCGAATTTAACCTACGGTCAATTAACCTAACCGTTCTTTGTGGTTAGATAATTAGCCTGGTTCAGTGATAGAATATTGCCCAATATCTGCTAAATAGTTTTCTAGGTTAAGCTGCGTTCATACTTTGCGGCAGCGTCCACCAGCGGTGCAAGAGTCCACCAGACCAGAGGGTAGCAGAGTGCTCGTAGAGAGAATGGCGCGATAGGAGGGTAGCATACAGCTGGTAGAGTATGGGGAGATAGGAGGGTAGCAGACTGCTGGTAGAGAATATGGCGCGATAGGAGGGTAGCAGACAGCTGGTACTCTCTTATCTCCCCCTACTCTCTACCAGCAGTCTGCTGCTCGTCGCTGTTGGTCGCTGGTGGACGACGCTGGTGGGCGCTGGCAGACGCTAGATTGATATTTATCTATACTTTCCTAGTGGCTGACGCTGCCGGACGCTCGGGACGCCCGTGAACGCTATTGGTTGCTGGTGGACGCTGCTGCCGCAAAGTATGAGTGCAACCTTACGGTTAGGCTCGATCGAAGCGCCTACAAGAACCCCAACTCTGAAGGTATTGAAAGCATGGCGAATGAAACTGAAACTAAAACGAAAAATGAAACTTGTTTACAACAGAAACTTCATTTTTCCTTATGTGACGACTGATGCTGATTACGGAAGGGTGAGCATCAGCAGTTGTTAGCAATCTGCTACTGGTAATATGAGCTTACCTCGTTCGCAACATTCGAGACACCTACCTTCATATAGACACCGGCATCGTCTGTAACTACTGTTGCAGTGCTGGAAACGCGCTGACATACTGAATGTACTTTCTTTGATGGACAGGACTTCCACGAGATGTCGTTATCTGGACATTATTATTATTAATTTAACTTTACGATTTCATCTAAATCTTTGTCTACTTATATGTTTGTTAAGGACAAAACTGTCGAAACCCTGATGGGATCCCTTCCAGGCAACCGAGCCCGCTACCCTCCTGGGATAGTAAAGTGGTACAAGATATCGTCTGTGAGGATCAAAACACTGACTCGCACACTGGCTCCCCCTCTCAAGGCATCTAGTGTAGCAAAATATCTACGATAGCTCCAAGCCCCAAGGGGAAGCATGATTATGCCACCTACACACATCTAAATCCTCCTAAATTTATAAATCCAAAGAGTGTACCAGAACCGCTGTCTTCGTCCTCAAGCAGAGCAGTGTCGAGATTCCGCCAAGGCGATGCCACGTTGTCGTAAATTGACAAGGCGGATGATTCCATCCTTTCTATAAAATATCGTTTAAGCAATCAGTAGAGAAGTACAGAAGTCAGTAGGGTTGTGTGAGCGTCATGGGTTTTCGCGTGGCAAGGCACCCGCCCGTTCCCCTCCATCTTCGGCTCTTCAGAAGTTCAATGATTGGAGGGAAAGGGGCTGGCACCGCGCAATAACCCACGCGCCACTGAGACACCCCGACTGGACTAAGTGACAACGACTGTAACTTCCCTAGACTTGACTCCGTTTTAAATAAACAGTAAAGGTGAAGTGGATATGTATAGATGTCGAATGTTTCGACCAACCTTTGATTGGGGATCGTACGTGATCTGGGGGGAGGGGGGTAGGAGGGTTGTCTACATAACTCCCCTCCCCACAATAGTCTAACAAGCAATAATTTTACCATTTCCCATACCAGATCAGAGGTCTTTGCCCACCCCATAGCTCGCCGACCAATGTTGGAGGTCGAATCGATAGAAGAAATAGGTGGATGGTCAAGACAATCGTAGTTTGCCGCTAAAGTTTGCCAGTTGGCGCGACGTTTCCTTAATTTCCATCATCCTGTCACTGGAGCATTGGATCTCGCGCGACTTCGACATCATAGTCGTTATGGATATTTCTGGTTATATAATGTCCACTGTCGCCATCTATCACCTCGTGACATCTCTATTTTTTCTGATGGCATGTCCCAACTAAAGCCATGTAGTGTTAAATGAAAAATGGGCAGAGTACATACACGTTGCAGGCAAGGCGGCAACAGCGACGTCGCCTTCGCGAGATTCACACCAGGACCTAGTTTAATACATTATGAAACTTTCTAAGCGAAGCATAGCTTCCTGCAGCAAATATTAGACAATTATTTCATAAATTATGTCCGTTCAAAATTGAAAAGGGAAGTATATGAAAAGATAACAGATAAAACGAAATAATATCGAGTAGAATATAAGAAGCACGTACTCTGATGACACTCCTCTTTTTCACAGTTGTTGTCGATAAACTGTATATTTTCACTGACGGATGGCCGCTTCAGTAGTGAAACACCCAAGGACTTCACTTTTGATGCTCGACGATCTTAAATCATGAATGAAAAACACTGAAAATGTTTTTTTATTCCTATCTACCTGGTTTCGATGATGGTGTTGTGACGTCATCAATGAACCTTATGCCCTGCTTATTGTCTTTTTTCGTTTCGTAGAAACCATTTGAATTCTTACATTCCAATGGTTTACTGCATATAGACGATACAGCAGCTCCTAAGAATCTGTTCTGTGGAAAAGCAGAGCTCGAGGATCAAAGAAGAAACAAATAGTTTGAACCACTTGAGCACACAGTAAGGCTGCATTCATACCTTGCGGCACCCCCCGTCAGCGTGTACAGCGTCCACTACCGACCACTAACGTTTCAAGTGTCCAGCAGCGTCAGCGACAACAAAAGTATACGATCTAGCGTCTTCCTCTGCCAACGTCCACCAGCGTTCACCAGCGACCGGGGGTAGAGAGTATGAGGAAGTGGAGGGTGACAAACAGCTGGAAGAAAAGGTGTAGAATATCTGTGTTTAGTAGTTGTGCTGTGCCGTTGCACACCGCAGTTTCACGACGCCTAATTCGACTGTTTGCTACCCTTCTCCTTCCCCATACTCTCTATCGGTCGCTGCTGATCGCTGACAGACGCCGGCACACGCTGGATTGATATCTATCCTTTCCTAGTCGCTGACGCCGGGACGCTTGTGACGTAGTAGGGTCGCTGGTGGACGCTGGTAGACGCTGGTAGACGCTGCGGCAAAATAAGTCGGAACGCTGCCTGAGGCGGGCAAGTGGTTCAAACTTCTTTTGGAACGATAGGATTCACTTCTTCCAGTAGCTAGGCTCGAATGAATCCGCTTCCCTATTGAATCGAACTTCTCCGATTTTCTCATATAACTGTTGATTATGGCAAATTCCAATAACGCAGAAAATACAAAAAAGCATACACGCTGGAAACAAGAAACCAACAGCACTGTTGACAATTTATGGAGAATCATTGAACTCCGAAATTCGATCTTTACCTCCGTACCAGAGATCAATCGCTTTAACGTAGCTCACTTGAGGCAGTCCAAAACGGAGACCATTACCCTTGAAAATTTACTCGCAATCAAATACTATTTATACGTGTTTTGTCTCTATTGTGCTACCAAAGTGCTT